TGCAGAGCACCTAAGAGCTTCATGCTACAGTTATCCTCTTTAGGAAAGGAATTTTTTGAACTTTCTGGTTGTACATCAATTTATGTTCCACTTTGTTCATGCATGCAGCCACAGGGGCTGGGTGAGCACCTGGGAGCTCCAGGCCACCAGTAACCCATCCCTTCTCTCTCCCAGCTGGGCAACACACTCACCATCACAGCTCGGCAGGAGATCCCACTCCCCCCGAAAAGCACAGATCACTTGCTAACCACCTAGGAACTGCTACCAAAACATCCCACGCTTCTGCTGGGCCTCCTGGAATGACTAGGGAAGCCATCCATAGCATGCACACAAATAATTTCTAGAAAAAGGGAGTAGGCTGTGATGAAAGAAGCCACCTGGTTAAAGGTACAGATTAAGTCTTGTCAGGTCTCTTCTCTCAAGGCATTAGATCTACTCCTTGGTATCTCCCTGGAGGGCTTCCCCCCACCCACCCCCACCCCGAGATGTTCACTGAGTTAAACAACAGACTTGCTGAGTTGGGGAAGACCCTGGCTTCTCCTTGGTCCCCAGGTAGAAAGTACTTCAAAGACAGCTCCTCTCCCTAGCTAAAGGAAAACCCACCCACCTCACCTACTCCTGAATCAGGTGGGGTGGCTAGAATCAACAAGCCAAGACACTTCCCTCCTCTTCAAAGGGCTCAGCATGGTATTTCAGTTGCTGCTAGAAGGAAGAGAAGGCGGGACCAGAAGTGAAGCATGGGTTTATCCACACAGGTACCTGTACCTTGCTCTTACGGGTATCCACCTACTCCTGTCTGCTATCACCCTGCAGCACCCAAAGCTCTCACGAGCAACGGCTAAGCAGCCCCCTGAGAAATGGTTTACTCTCAGAAAGGCCAAACTTTTCATGTATTTTCAGGGAACTGCTATGGAAATCCTAACTTAGGATCACTTAAAACCCCATGCACTGTGTCCCCCTCAAAGCACTCAAATGAACATTCTTGCATCTTGGCTGAGATGACTGTACACGGAAAATTAACACCTATCAAATGGAGAAAACTTAAAAAGGACAGGAGGGGAAGGGAGCACTCCATCCTTCACATTTGGATACGTGGATGCACGCTAAAAATCTTAGCTTGAACCCTTTTATCAGCACATAAAATGAACTCAGTTTAATAATACATACAGAATACAAACACTACAGTTATATTCCCAAGACAGCACAAGAAATTCACAGCCAAGTCTTGATTCGATTTCCTTTACAATTACAATGCAGTCTTGAACACTGGACACAAGAGTCCAACATGCTATTTACATTTCACATTGTGGAGATGTTTGTGTGCTTGGAAGAGTTCTCAGTTCCAAAAGAAAGTGTCATTCACACACGATGATGCAGTGGAAATAAACCAAGCCAACCAGACAAGCCAATGACCACATTTGTGCTTCTGAAAAAGTAACATGAAGTGTCTTCACCGATGCAGTCACCCTCAACCGGACAAGCTGCCTTCCATTTTGCAGTCAGCGAGGTGTCCAGAGGCCAATCTCATCTCCCCTGAATTCTGGACCCTTTTGCTAGCAACCAGTAACACGAGTAATGTTCCAATAAGGTCAGCTGGGACACACCAAGTGATATGGCCTTGGCATTTTGTCACATTAAAAACAGAGAGACACAAGGGAAGAGAGAGAAGTCTCTACAGCTTTACCTCCTACAGCTTGAAGCGTTTGGACTCCCTCAACCATGAATGCCATCTAGAACAGATGAGTCTTTGCCAGATAGCACCTGCTGTTCACCCGAGAGGGAGGCACAGAGTCTGGGAGATCTTGGCTTTTGAAAGTCCACTCCTCAGACAAAATGTGACCATATGGATGAGGCTGATTATGTCGCAGCCATAAGAATAGGCAAAGGCCATCTGTTCTTCAGCAGATCTGTTCAGACCAGCCTGCAGAAATGCCACACTGTTGCTCAAGGTTCCAGTAAAAAAAAAAACAAAAAAACCACCAAACCAAAAAAACCCAAAGTAATAATAAACCAAAAGAAACCCATTTGTCTGTGTTTCCTATCCAGCACTCTGCACAGCATGCAGCGGGGCAGCAGAGTTCCAGGATGCTTTACAAAAGTGCAATATCCATGTCAAGTAAAGGAAGTGCTGGCTGGACAAAGGTACACAGCTCACACTGCAGTCACGTTATGCTGGCCTCCAGAGAACAAAGTGTTATCTCCATAACATTCTTTCCAGTTATATTTTGAAGTCACAGAGCACATATATCCACATCCGTGCCTTGCTGCAAGCCCCAAACATTGTCAGAAGTTGTTCTGGATGTTACGAGTGGTTATGCCATACCTTGGAAGGAAGCAGGTCAAGGTGGCTGCTCTGTTAGATGCTGCAAACAAAAAGGCATAGGCTCGCTCCCCCATTATCCCTGCTGGCACAGACAATACCACTGTGACAATTTAGATCCAACCCAAAGTGCAGTCATGTGCATGTTCAGGATGCATTCTGTATACAGAAAAAACAATATACAGAAGCACTTGTTTTCACAGGGTTCCCCACAACCTCCAGCCTCCAAAACACTTGCCTTCAATGAGTAGGACCGGGCCACAGATTTTAGGGCAGCTCCCCTAAAAGTCTAAGTAGCAATCCAAGCACATCCTTGCAAGGAGAAATGATGGCAGAACAACTCAGTCTTAATAAGGATTATATGGCTCTTGCTTCTTTCTTCAAAGCGAGGGGAAGGTTCAGTTCCCCCCAGATAGCAGTTGCATGCTTTGGGCCCTGCAAGCGAATCATGCCACATGCTTGCACACCCGGGTCTCCTGGTAGGCTTTAAGACAGGGTGGAAAACCTGGTGCTCATGAGCCACAGTGTCCCTCCATACCACCTGTGACTACATTTCCCTGCCCTTGTTATTTGATAACACAGAGGTATGTTAAGGTGTGAAGCCCATCAAATGTGTCTGAAAGGGCATACTCAGTCCTGAGCAAGAAAATCCTGCTTCCAGAGATTTATGGTGAAGTGTGAAGTTTCGTCCAAAACCTTCTCGTCCTGTCTGCACAGTGGTGCCTCCTCCCTGTCTCCCTTACTCCTTTGAACGGTAATAGCTGGCCTACAGCTTTTGCACTCTATTAGTGGTTTCTATCTTCAGAGGAGTCTCAAAGCTTGCTCTTCCACAGAGCTGGTACCATTTTACAGCAGATACCATCATCCTAGTTAGCTACCTGCTAGGAGCAATTCCTACCTCACTGCAAGAAGGCAACTGACTTGAGTAAAGGCAGATTGGTAGATTCTGTGCCCCGTACAGCAAACGTGGGGTAAACAGACATCGAGCCTGAACATCACTGAGGTGAAGACTAACTGCCTCTGCCAATGGCTCAACTCCAGTTTGAGAGACATTTCCCACTTTATTGACTCTGCCAGTTATTTAATACAATGCTCAGCAGCTACACTAAGATGCCCCTGCTCAGAGGTAAAAAGACAAAAAGGAACATCATAGTTACCCTACTGAAAGGGCAGTACTCGACAGTACCTCTCAAGAGGCAGTCTCCTCTTCCAGTAGGAAGCTGTCAGCGCCCTTCCGAGCACTGCTCTTCAGTGGGAAGTACAGCACCATGGAGGATGTTGCCCTCTGCAGGCACGCAGCCCCTCCGCAAGCCTTGTTCTGCCTCATGCCTAGAAAAATGCCTTACACGTGCCTTAATATGGTCAGATAGTGGTTAGCAACGTGCCTTGAAAAACAAAATGAAATAAAATAGAAAAAAAATAAAAACCTGTTCTGACAGTCACAATGTTCTCCAGATGTCATTTGGGTTTTTGATTTTGGAACACAGAAGACGACATAGTGACGATCTTGTGAGTTTCTTAGGACTGAGGTTCCAAAAACTTCCTTCAATGCCAGTTCAGCAACCCTGTGCTGTAAATTATGATTTAAAAAAAAAAGAAAGAAAATAAAAGGTCCAGCAGAGTTCACGGGTCACTCCTGCAGGGATAGCTTGCATTCGCTATAAGTCCATTGGTGCTTCCAGTCTCTCTTGCTTTTGCAAGCTGACTGTCCCGTAAGATCTAGCATCAGAGAGCTGAAACTCTTTAGTGCAAAAATACCCCCCATAAAGTCTTACAAGTCTTTTCCTGGAAAAATTTGGCACCAAGTGGGTGGCTGGCTCCTGTTTGACCTGTGTGTCAGCCTTGTAAAGGCAGCACCCAGAATGCCATCTGCAAGTACCTGGGCTTCCCTGATGGAGCAGAGAGGTCAGGTTCAGAGCAATGGACAGGGTAGTTGACTGGTGCTGGGACCCCCCCCGTTCCTCCTCGAGAATTCACATGCTAGATATAGTGGGAAAGAAAAAGGCATTTTCTTAATGGATTTTAAAAAAAAAAAGTTAACCAGGGTAGTGGAATGGTTTGCTCTAGAAGAGCCGCAGGCTCCCAAATTACAGTGGATATACAGTGACACCATGAGGCAGGGGTTTCCCTCCTCCCTCACACAGGGCACTGGACCAGAGGACTCCCAAAATGCTCTATCATGCATTGACTCAGCTTTCCCTCGTTGTACGCTAGTCACAGACACCAAGCCTCTGCTTCTTCAGTGTTTGACAGACTGCTGATCCCACTGCAGAAGTGAAGAAGATCTACCACCATCTTTCACCAAATCCCTCTGGGAAACAGAAGGGGAAAAAAGGGGGCAGAAGATATTCACCAACTTTTTCTGATAGGCTAATCTGACAAAGTTGGCCCCAGGCAGGCAGACCCAGTTTCTTGCCTGGGTGCTCTCAGTTGCTTGCCTGCACGTGCTTGCTCTCTCTCGCACATCAGGTACAACAAGGTGAAGGCTTAAATTCAAAAGGGGCTTCCACTCCAGTGGGGCAGGTGCCAGGTTGGAGGGGTAGTCTGGACTGGAGAAACAGAAGGAGCTGCACTGGATTTTGGGCAGAACAGCAGGATTGTTCTACAAGGACAGCACAGGGGCACAGCAGTTGGCACATTGTTTAGTCTGACTGCATGTGTGGGCTTTTGTGGGTTTTTTTTTTTTTGCTTTTTCATTTTAATGCACACTGCCAGCATCTGGACGAGGTTGGTTGGTGGCGAGGTATTTGGCTCTCATGCTGGAGGTGTACTGGAGGAAGACAAGACAAAAAAACAAAACAAACAGAACGGAAAAGTAAGTCAGAATGACTAATGTAAACACGGAACCACAGATTACGACCACCTCCCAGCATAAAATGGTCTGTATTTACAGCAAGCATATCAAGGAGCTGCTGCTGGCTTGGTTTGACAAGGAAAGTTTCACAAGCCACTGCATAGTCTAGGTCTGAGTAACATACTGTCAACCTGCTGCAAGGATGCTGGCCAGGTCAGTGCAGATGGGCTAATGATTTATCCAAGCTCTCTACAGAGAGGGAAATCCAATAGTCATTGAGCCGAAATATGCTGTACTTTGCTTGGGAGAAGAGAGGGAAATGGAAATGATGCAGATGTAAAAACCCACCTTACACCTTCATCCTCTCTTAGTCATGTTGTTGCTTTCAACCATGCCAGAAAAGGAGGTTGAAAAGAAAATGGGTGTACACTGCATTTTTTATATTGCATTTTATGGCAGTGAGGGCATCAGAAGACTGCATGCACCACAGATGGGCAGTTTGAAAGAAAAGTGTGGAAGAGTGAATCTCTGAACAATTTATGCCCAAGAAAGAACAGACCCTGTCAGGCTGGAAACAGGCTGCCATCAAACAAGATGATATTAGCTAGCAGTTATCAGATGGGTAATAATCCACTGTGGCTTGGGATCCAACCTGTGTACCATGCAGCAGCAGACAAGACTCCAGCTTGGGGGTGAGAAGAGTAAGTCAGAAAGATGAGAGGTTGTTTTGGTTTGGGGGGTTTGTCTTATTTTCTTTTTTATTCTAAGCAAGGTAATCCAAAACAGCTCCCAGAAGCTACTGAGGTTAACATATGCCATTCAGCTTTGAATAACGAGCCAAAAAGCATGTAAATAACACCCAGCAGTAAGAACAAAAGACTTTGCCTCTTTATGCCAATGTGTTCAATGCCTCCATCATGACCACATTAGTGCTTCTGGGATTCTGCTACCATGATACTAACAACGAAGCAATGAGGACTGACATTTTATTCCTCTTTTTATACCAGCTGGAGCTTGAATAATTCTATAATACCCACACCTTACTTCCCAAGAGTGCTGTTCAGCATACTGACTTTTTATCACCTTTAAAACTGAACCACATAAAATAGCCAGTTAAGCTGGCAGAGAGACGACTGAAAGGCAGTTCCACACCAGGAGGTATGATTTATCTTGCCCACTGGGAAAGAACATTATGAGGCATCTTTAGGCTCTCAAAAGCTCAGCTGTCCAAAGGGGTTTTCAGAGAATTAACAGTATTTTATCAGTTTTTCTTCAAAGACTGACCCAGGCTGAACCTCTGCACAATAGAAGAGAGAATCTGCTCCTTCGGCAGAGCTGACCCCTTCGGCACAAGATAAAGACACCTGTGGCTTATTTGCACACTCATCTTTTAGTGTCTTCCATAATTGGAAAGCTTTCTGCAGAACATGGATCTTGATATAAAACTCTGGCCTAGAAATGGCATCTATATTTAGAAGACAAAGGGTACATCCGTTCTTTCTCCTTTTAAGATGTATTTTTTGTCAGTGAGAAGGAAAAAGGTAGAAAACACCAAGCTGAGCCAGTTTAAGGACTATATTCTATAGAGTTTGTTAAATGATTCTATAGAGTTTGTTAAATGATTCTATAGGGTTTGTTAAATGCAATTATTGTTTCAGAAATGAAGTTTAGGGCATTATTAAGATATATGAGACTAACCCAACAGGCTCAGAAAGGCTTAGAAGTCAAAGAACTTTCTCACAGAGTACGCAGAGCACATTTCAGGTAGTGCAATGCTGAAATTACCAGCCAAACATCATGCTAAGAAGAGGCTCTTAGAAGGAAAACTGCATTTGATTGCTCATTTTCTATTTGTATTCTGTATGGTGACATGTGATAGGAGCCGAGTATGAACAGAGAACTTCCAGGTGCTAAGGTTTTGTAAGAAGTATTTAGAAAAAAAAAAATCTCAGATCCTGGAAGGTTATTGTGCATCTTCCTGGACAAGTCATACAGGTTCAGCACACAACATGCAACATCAACTTTCTTTAGAGCATTAAAATCAAGAAGGGCCGCTTGATGAACTGCATATCAAGGATGTACAAAGTACACCCACCATGGAGGGAGAAGTCGAAAAGAATTCACTCCTTCCTCCACCAAGAAAACACCCCACAGTTGTTTAATTGTCACTGAAACAAAGTAATCAGGAACACAAGATTTGGACACTCAAGCAGAGGGCATTTTACATTCAAACCTACCTGCAATCCACCACAAGGAATAAATCAACTCAGAGTAGTCAGAGTTAGGGCTGATGTTCTCTCCTTAACTCAGGATTTTTGTGCCTTTGTACCTTTTTCCCCCATTAGTTTGAACCACTTACTCCTTCTGTTAAAGTGTACTTTTAATGACCATAATAAGTGTGATTGAAACCTGGAAGGAGAGTACTAACACTTCACTGCACACCTCTCATAACCAGCACAGCTCTATCAGCGTACACTGGATCTTCAGTCACTGCATTAACTCCATGTACGAATGCTTTGCTCCACGTGCTGTTGACAGTAGTCCCTCATCCAAGTCCTTTAGTGCACTTCTGCTGAGAAGCAGAGGAAAGATGCCGTGGAATACACAGATCCCAACATCTGACAGGCCAGCGAAGACGTATCAGCAGACACTTGCCAGTCACATAGATATGAAACCAAACTATATTATCCATAGTTAAAATAAATAAGTCTTTAGCTCCTTTATAAAGTAATTCTAAAGACTTAAAGCCTGAGCACAATTCAGAGCTAAGGAGGTCTTGGACTCTACTCTGAGGTAACCTGGATGCAGTGCCTGACACAGCTATAAGGTATACAGTTGCATTTAGTTTCCTTTAAAGAGGAGCTTTCATAGAAGGTTAAAGAACATGCACAATGCAGTCATTCTTCCAGTACTCTTACTGGAAGCACCCATGTGCCTATACACCCTCATTTATTCTTTCAAAAACAGCACGGAGGACAAGTTTCAACCCATACCTTCACTGTCAGCTACCCTAAAAAAAAAAAAAGTACCTAAAAGACTTCTTGTTACCGTTTCTCCTGGTGGCTTGTGCTATTCAACACAGCACACCTCAGTCACTTACCAGTCAGCTAGGACAAACACAGCTGATTGCACACAAGTTTATTTTTGTATTTCTCTAAAGAAAAAAAAAGTCTCTCCTTCACATTCAGCCTTGTTGAACGTATAAACTTTCATAGGTATGGTTTGCCAGCACATACTAGTTAGGTGCTTAACATGTATAGCCCGTGTACAAAGTAATCATTGGTTGCAAAAAAAAAAAGGGAATAATCAGTTAATTTTGGAGACCATAAATTCTACCAACTCCTGTGAACTGTGCCAACCATGAGTACTTCACAGCTAACTGCACCATGCTGGAAGATCACTTACCATATGAAACCATGACTCCGAGTAGAAACCATTTACTATTTGTGGTTAAAAAAACCCACATGCATCTCTCTTCAGCTACCCTGACTTTGATTTCCTGCCAGAGTTATTCAGGTAATCCAGTAAAGACCAAAGCTTCTGGATTCAAGCACTTAAAGGTTGATCCACCTCTCAAATAGCTAGAGCACAGTAAACACACAGGGTTTGGTATCATTACATATGGGAGGTACAAGATGCAGGGAAACAGGCAATTCTAGCTAGTGGGTTCTGAATTCAAAGGGACTTAAGTTTTCCAAGTCAAAAGAACAGAGCTACTGTGTGTTTTGTTTGTTTTTAAAAAGTCTTGGAAAGAATGCAATGCCTTTTTCTTAGCCTTGCAGACAGCCACATTAAACTCTGGGTGTGACCTTAGGTAAACAGAAGACAGTGCAGCCTGAGATGAGGTCATGTTTCAGCCCAGAGGAGATTTCAAGTCCAGAACGAAGACACTAGAATTTCCCCCCCACCCCACTGCCCCAGCAATATTTTATTTTATGGAATGGACCCATCTAACACCACTACAATACCACCTGCAGGAACCAAAAAGCAGAAAAACCACCATAAGCTGACACCCCAGAGCAGTCTTTGCAAGACTTAAGACAGAAGAAAGTTGTGACCTTTAAAAGGGTGCTAGCACCATGCTTCAAGACAAGTTTGTTTGCATTCATGCACCATGGCAGAGGGCATCAAGACACCCGATTCAGACAGCACCCTTTGCAGCATGTCACAAGGCAGGCAGACAAATGGCAAGAAGCAGCAAGAATGCAGACCAAGCAGCAACATGACAGAAAGGAATCCAATGCAAGGCTGACGGAAGTCCCAACAAGAACGGCAGTAAAAAAGGAACAGCAGCTTTATGGACATGTATCTCTGTGAACAAAATGTAAGATACGGGTCATTGATTGCACAAGCCAAAAGCAACGGGCCTTCTGTTCCCACCGGAACCAACACCTTCCAGTAACTGTGTGACTGTAGTTCCCTTGAAGGAGCACTGTCCTTCATTCCAGGTGAGTTGTCTGGTACCTCTAATTATACCCTATATTCAACCAAGCTAAAAAAAATACAAGGCTTAATGCAGACCACCTACTCTTTCCGTAGGCACGTGGCTTTGTCATGAGCTACTGTGAGGGACTTAAAACTGGCTATCTTGGAGAACATCAGCAACTACAGCCCATTAGGAATTCCGACAGTGAAATGGTACTAGGAGGGCCCTGTTCACAGAGCCTGTGGGACATGGATGGGATGATTTGGACAGACACAGAACAAACAAAACAGTAAAAGGTTTTGAAAGAATGAAACAGATCTTAGTGCTTATGTCTGGACCCTTAGGGAAGTTTTTTTTAATCTTGCTCCTTTCTGACTTTAAATGCAAGGATAAAAGGAGAAGCTGCACACAGATCTAACAGGCAATGAAGTAACTCTTCAGGACAGGCCACCATTACCAGCTAGGATCCTTCAAGAAATTAAAAATCCTACTGAAGCGCTTAAAGCTTGTGGCAGGTAAGTATCGGTGTTGTCGGGCACATAGTGTTATGACCAGTCAAGACAAACAGAACAGCAGTAGGGCTCAAGGGAAGCTAAAAGCTGAATTAAGACAACCAGTCCCGACTGAAAAGCTGCTAGATTGGTTCTCTTTACTTCTAGAAAATGGCTTCTTGTCATGGGAGAACTTGTATTCTGCATTTGGAAGGGAAGGTCAGGTCTATATTCAAGCAGCACTCAGTACTAAGTGTTCAAGCTGTTCTCAAGTGTGGACTCTGAGTTGAAGCTGCTGTGCGTTAACCTTTGTGAGGCACGGGTGCCTATAACCTTCACAATGTGCACCAGAAGCCTTTGCAAGGTTGGTACTGCTCCTTGAGTCTGCACCAGAGCAAAACTGCTTTTAATTTTAACCCTTGGCAGGAGGGAATGGGGTGGGAGGTGCAGAGGGAAGGAATGTGAAGAAATAAAAGGCACTGGCCTGGGATAAACAGTGCAGGGATGAAGGGAGTGGTTGGGAGTGGAGAAGGGGTTGAGCAAGAAGGACCTTTTTTCCAGTACCTGTTCCATTTGCGGGCGCTGTTACCAGTATGTCCGTGCACTGTCCGAGGGCTTAAGCTGCCAGCTCATATGGCTGCTACTGTCCATGGCAGCCAAATACAACTGTGATGACGCAAGAAAGAGAGAGAAAAAGAGAGTGCAGCCTCAACGTGCATGAAAAACACAGTGCAAGCAAGTGAAACGCTGTGGTGTGTGTCAGCGACAAGGTGGGCTCTACAACCCTAAGGGAATAGCCCTGTGGCAAGAAGGAGAAAACAGAAGGAATGAGAGAAGGGAAAAAAACAAACAAACAAACAAAAAGCCAGGAAAAGTAACGGACAAACAATGCAGCAGGATCATCACATCTTAGTTTTCACCATCTGTTCACAGAAAGCTAAATGGAATATATCAGCTCTGTCTACCCAGTGGACATAACCTATTTGGATGGTTATCCCCCTCTCCTCCCTCCCAAAAAGAGGCAGGGACATGTGCATTGGTATCCCCTTTTCATCTGTCTCCTCCCACAGATGATTTGCTACAAAAAGTTGCAATTTCCTCTGCCTCAGTATGGTCTCAGCCACCTGCTATGGAGAGCTGAGAATACAAAAATCCCAGAAAAGCCCCCTTCCCTGCTGCCTGCCAGTATGAGAGTAGACTCTTTTTCTTCACTGCCTACTATGTCCCTCCAGAAAACACATTTATCCTACAGCCTGTTCCTTGCCTTGTCTAGGGAAAAGCTCCCCATGTCTATAGGTGCAATGCTGTACTCTCCTCCTCCCCCAGCTCCCGCGCTTCCCTATAGCCCATATTGATGGCTGCCAAGTCAAGTTATTCTGAAAAAAAAAAAAAAAAAAAATTCTCATCTTTATCTCCTCTCAGAAACCAGCCTAAGGCACCAGGACTCAGATTCCCCCTCAGGGTATTAATGCAAACAGCTACTGAAGAACCAGGGAATTTTTTGCATAACTAAAGCCCCTGCGGAAAGAAGCGTGCTTTCTCTGAAGCAGAAGAGCTGTAGGGGAAGGGGAAGCAGGACCTCAGTCTACAGACATTGAACGAACACACGCCTTGGCAGTACCAGAGGGATTGTGCTCTTCCTACAAGAGGAAACGCCAGGGGTAAAGCATTTGCCACACTTTACTGTGTGCAGCACATCAGCTCTTCTTTAAGGACCATCTTGTTGCCGAGAGCAGATCATGCTACCAGAACTTGTGATCACAGTACCACCAGGGATCAGGAAAAACTCTTTGTGAAGGTTGAAAGAGGCCTGGCCAAGTACAGAGACAAGGATCAACTCCCCGCTTCTCCGCTTTCTCTACAGCAAGATGAATTGGTCCTTTTGAAGTGAAAACATGAATGTGATGTCCACTTTTCCACCACAATTCCTACTCCTTCATCCTCCAACCTCCTCTTCCTCCCCTTCCCATGAATTTGAACCATGCACCGCAGAGTGTATTTTCTTTACCTATACCTGAAGACTGGTTGATTATTAAGCATGCTACTACTCATCCTCTGTAATCACACCACCAAGTTAGTGTGCACTGCGATGTCACGTTCTCCAAGTTCTGGTGTAAGGTTTACAGGATCCAGTGAAGGAGGGCAAGATTCATCTAGTTCTTACACAGACATGAAGGCAAGCCCATGTTTTATCCAGCATACAGAAATGGCTATCAGGCCACTCCAAATACCAAAACCTTCCATGAAAGTGTTTTTCTTTTTCCTCCATAGGAAATTAAATACAAAAATAGATTCTAAAGAAAGTAAAACAGTTGTGAAAGAAAGATTATAAAAAAAAAATCTCAACAAAAAATAATACAGGTTTCATCCTACCATCTTTTTAGGGCAGATTAAGGAGAGAGATTCAGCAATAACTCTGAATTTACTACTTTAACAAGTTTCTTTTTAAACTTGAGGAACCAATGCCACAGATAGCAAGTATGCTGCATGCAAG